GTCACTTCATGCAGATGACGCACCCAGAGCGCATTCTGGCAAACCGCACACGACCCGGCGCATTCGTTTCCCATGCACGCCGCGTGAGTGTCATGAACATGGCGCATGCTACACCCAACACACAGTCATAAAGACAGAATAGCAAACCTGCGTGGTAGGCACGCGAGTGGTTTTCTAGGTTGGCTATTCTACGACTGCAAGCTACAGGTGAGAACCTAGCAATCCGAAGGACTCCGTTCTGTGGGAATTGTATTTCAGAGAAACCACTGTGTCATGAGAAGACATGCTAATTATGAAAGAAGTCTAGCTAAGACGAAAGTTAGCATTCTCCAGCCTCTCGCTGACTGCCTGATTAGGGCTCAGCATGAAGAAAGCAGCTCTGACCGTGAAGCTCCCTCGGAGGACTTTCACACATGGATGGATGGAAGGCAGGGTGCCCCCCCCTCCCAGGTCTCCTTCACAGCCCCTTGGACGGCGAGGATAAATGCCCGGGCATGCCTGTGTGTGGGAGGATGTGTGGAACTGGACCCCGGGCACTGCTGGGCAGAGAGAAAGTAGGGCAGCTGCTGTGGAAGACTGTCAAACGCAGGGTTACCCTATCACTCAGCAATTTCTCTCTCAGGCATAGACCCAGGAAAAATTCAGACCAATATCCACCCAAAAATTAGTACGTAAGTGTCGACAGCAGCATTACTCACAGTAGCCCCAAACTAGAAATAGCCCTCACGCCCATCACCCGATGAGCAAGTTTTGAAACAGACTCCATACAATGGACTACTTGGGGCATCAAATAGAAACCAAGAACTAATACACATCACAACAGGGTTGGACCTTGGAAAGATATACCAAGTAAGAACAGCCACTCACAGAGGGCCTTCCAAGTCTTCCACGGATATGGAACGTCTGGATCGGGGCTCCTGTGGAGCAAGATAGGGGCGAGAGTCTGTGGGTGCATCAGGTCAGAGGGTGGGGCTGGGGGGAGGGCTGAGGGGCAGGGAGTCCCTCTTGAGGAGAGTGGCATGTGCTGGAATTAGAGGGGGCTGGCCGCATCACCATAACATCAGAGACTGACTTGTGAATTGGACACTTTAAACGGGTAGAGTGTGGTCCATAGGTTATGTATCCCAATAGCTGTTCAAAAAATAAACAAAAAATTGAGCACAGATCTCTTAAAACCCGTGGATTAAAATACCATTTAACAGGAATGTGGGGGAATGCAGGAAATGTTTGCGTGAGGAGGTCGTGAGGTCAGCCCCAGATGTGGAAGGTTTGAAAGGCACAAAAATAGTGGGAGGAGGAATCGCTACAGAATAAAAGAGGCTTAGAATAATAATTTATAAATTATCAAGGGTTTGTGAGGAAGGGAGGGCGGGTGGGGGGGGGGGGGATAAATGAGGAGCTGATGCCAAGGGCTCAAGTAGAAAGAAAATGTCTTGAAAATGATGATGGCAACAGATGTACCCATGTGCTGGAGACGATGGATGCATGTTGGATTGTGATGAAAGCTGCCTGAGCCACCAATAAAATGATAAAGAAAGAAATAGGGTCTGATAGCACTAAAATAAATAAATAGAAATAAAAGAGGCCTACTGAACAGCAAGGGC